AAATAAATAATAATTTTTTTTTAGTTTTTATTTATATTAGTTAATAGTTAATTGATTTACTTTTATACTGCGAAAATAAAATTAAGTGTGAGTATATATAATATATATTTGTAGTCCACGTACCCCGACTAGAAAACTTACAATTGTTTAAATTATTTAATTTTATTTATGATTCATTTTATTAATTCATTCATTTAATTAATTAATTAATTTTGTTAATCAAATACCTACATTCAAGCCGAATTTAAAATTTACATTAATGTTGTGAATTTAAAATTAATTTTTCTTTTACTTTTTAGGTTAGGTGATATCTACGGAGCCTAAAGGAAATTTAGTGAGCAATAAAAAACTGGCGGCCATTTTAGTGAACTGAGTAGCACAACGTACTACGCGAATGTACTTGGTGAGTTAAAATTATTAACTATTTATTTTTATAATTAAAAACAAAATTATTTTAACATATTCATTTTTATTTTTTTATTTTTTTTTATATTAACATTCATTTTTATATTCTCATCATCTGAGAAGGTTTTTTTTTATAATTAAACAATAAGTATGGTTTTAAATTTACAAAACGGGGGAGGGGGGAATTTAGCGTCCTCCGCACTATTCCTACCGTGTTAGGTAACACAAAAAAACGTTTGTTTTTCGAATTTTACTAAAATAGGTTACATTTAAAATGTAAATATTTAATATGGGAATGTTTAAAGAATATTTTATGGGTATTTTTACTAGTATTTTTTAATAGTATTTTTTAATAGTTGGAATAATAAATAATTAGAGTCAAATTAGAGCATGCGGCAGAAAACAAAGTTTAGCTCGTAACTTTAAGGTTATGTTCGACAGGGATAAAAGTTTCATAGAAATTTTTTACTGTCGTACAACTTGGGTAACACGAAACTTTCCCGCGCGAGCAAGAATTGATATTAATCCGCATTTGAATGCGAAATACAATAATACTGATTAAGCGTAATTAGTATTATTGTATTTCGCACAAAATGATTAATAGTCATTTAGTCATCGAAGTAGATTTAATGCTTTTTGCATAAAATCATGTCATATATTATTTTTGTAAAAAAACAAACTTGGAATATTTTGAATAGTTATCATTTTTATATTTTTAGTAGTACTAATATTTGCATAAGTTGCTAGTTAACATAAGTTGCTAATATTAATTAGCAGACTAACTAATGCTAATATTAATTATAAATTAAATAAATTGAATTGAATACTAATAGAAAATTAGTTTTGAGGTATAAAGTTTGGAGTTTCAGAGACTGAGTAGGAAATATATTTTAAGGTTATGCTGACAGATACATCATACATGGCATCAAAGTTAGGAGTGACGTCACTAGTTTCTTGACATGTATTTTAGAAAAAGAGAGAATAGCATTGCTTACGTAACGAATAGAGTAGTAATTGTACTATCTGTCTAACATGTTTCTTCTTCTAATACAGCATGTATATAGGTGTAAAAGAGATCTTGTGGGAGGGGAAAGTTAATATGTATGACCGCACTACTCGAAGTCATTTATTTCTAGATCGGCTCTTGTTGCGTGCGTAGTAACAGCATTTTCGTACAATTATCAAACCTTTTTGATAAAAATATCTATTTTATGATGTGCAGTTTATAGAGAAACTTTTCAAAATATCTCATTTTGAAAATTGTAAACTAAAGTTCCGGTAAGAAGAGGTTGATTGAATGAAATTAATATCGCTCAATTCAAGTTCATAAACTACTTTTTCATAAGAGAAATTGTTGCGGAATCTATTCCCAAAATGTTAGTTTTATAATTTCCATTTCATCGAAATTCTTGTTGGCAAATTGTTGTTTTGACGTAAGTTGCAGATTAGGAAAAATAATTAAATATAAATTTCATTCTTCTCGAAGTGATGTTTTAAATTTTATTTGACATAATTGTTGTTTGTTCTGACAGTTGGCATCGCCTAAAGTTACTTAAGAAGAAGAATTGTTTATGAGAAAATTAATAGAACATTATTTTGGGCACATTAAAATTGGAAATGAATTAACGTGAAAAGAAATTATTTTCTAATCTTTCGTTTTTAAAAAGGCGGACACTTCTTTTGATAAAAGAATTTAAGGTTAAGATTTAGTTAATTCAAATGTTCTAATTTTTATTTCATTATTATTATTATTTAATATTTATTACTATTTGTCATGAGATGATTCACAATTTCTGAACGTTCAAAATAAACGACTTTTTTCCAATGTAAATATTTTCAAAAATTACTGCCTTTATAGAAAGTAGAAATGAAAGTAAACATTTCAAATTGTTGTAATTTGTTTTTTTAACAGATGACGCAATATTGTTGCAATAAAAATATTAATTTAAATAACAAATAAATAAATTTCGTTCATTTGCACGTTCAGAACTTTATATTAGGAGTATGTCATGAGTTACGCTTTTCTTTGGATAATGTATAAGCACTATTTCTTCAAATTATCATTTGACCTATGACCCAAGCCGTAAAAATTTCAATTCTCCTAAAAAAAATACATTAGTTTTCAAATATTTGTTTAATGTCACGCATGTAACATTTCAGGACAAATAAATTTTAGAAAAGTAAAATTTATCTTGAAGGTTAGAAATTATGGCAAATGGCAGCGAGTAAAACTGAAAACATTTTTTATGGGTAGATTTTAAGTGCTTTATATTTAGAGTAATAAATAGTGTTTAGAGTCAAAGGTTGTTTGACCTATGTTGTTTGTGATGTTATGTGAAACTGAAACCTGAAACTTATGACTTTGTTTTATGAAATCTCTGACTCTGAACATTATTTATTACCCTAAATATTAAGTAAAAACCATATTACCTAGAAGAATATTTTTATTTTTATTGTTTTACTCAATTTGCCATAATTATTAATCTTCGAAACGTTTAAATAAGGTTAGAAATTATGGAAAATGCGGCATATGGTCCACAACGTTGATCAACGAAAAAAATTTGTTTAATGCAATCAATTATTATATTTTTTATTTAATATTTAATTGTATGACAATTATTATCAAAACATCGTCAATCTTTTTGTTTAAATATTTTTGTGTCAATATTGATGTATTATCTTTAATTAAATAAACTTAATGAACAATTTTCTTTCGTTGATCAACGTTGTGGAGTTCAATTTAGTTATTACAACAAGAAATTTGTAAAATGATATTCGTGGAACATAACATTTCGATGGTTTAAAAGTGATGTTTAATGTCAATTCGGAAAACAGAATTTTAGATCATGCCAAAGCTTTTCAATCAGGCCAGAACTTATACAAAATAATAATTTGGCAATAAGAATTTCGATGGAATGGAAATTATAAAACTGAAATTTGGGAAATAATCATGAGCCCTTGCGGACATTTTTGATTTTTTTCTGACACTAATAATTTCTTATATTTAAAAAGACAGTTTCAATTTTAAACAGTTGCATTTGAATAAGAATGATGACAATTTTATGTCAAATGAGAAATATTCGTTAATTTTTAGGTTATGTTACCAAAATCGTTTCTTATTGACAGAAAACTAGTTTTTATATTAAAATTCAAATGTTCAAACTGTTGTAAATTAAATTCTTTATGCTTCTATCAAAACAAATATAAAAGATATCTTTTTTTAAATACGAAATTGTGACATTGGGCTTAAATTTTGCTCCGATTGTTTGTCGGATTTTTCCTTGAGATAAATATCGTACATATGTCACTAGTAAAGTTGTATTAGTAAGGACAAGTTCCACTTTTAAATTTTTTGGTTTCACTTGAAAATGCGTTTATGCCAAAATTTAAACTTATCTAAAGAATGTTTTTGATAAGAATATTTATATTTAAGTAGTGATTTTCTAATGCATTGATTGACCTATTTGGAGATATTTTATTACTAGTGAAGTCATGGAATTAAACAATTCCCCTTAAGTTTAAATTTTCAGCTATTTTTTTATTGATAAACTTTTCCCAGTAAGAAGTGGTTGATTAAAATAGATTAAAATGTTAAAATTTCTAAAATGACATTGGTTTGGAATTAAAAGCATTGTGAATTTTTGCTACATGTGCAGTCATTTTAATGCTTTTCATTTCCTCTTTATTAAAATGAATTAAAGTGTCAGCAATATATTTATGTCGTAAATATAGGATTCAAATGATTAGAAATTTTATGCTATGAACAGAATTAAATCGTTTTGGATTCTAATTACCCTATCAGAATTAAAATATGTAGAAAATTAAACAGAATAAATAAATGAGTGCAGATGGATTATCTATAAAGGAATTAAAACATCAAACTTCAAAAATGACATTAGTTTTGCATTGAAATGATTCAGAATTGAGCGATATTTTACCTTCTTTCAAACTCTTCTTAGCGGCTTGATTTAACCTATAAAATCCCATCACCAAGTGACTATTTTGTCGTTGATGAAAATTATAAATTCGAATATAAAAATTTATTTACGAAAATTATTAGAACCTGGAAATTTTAAAGGAGCAATGTTGCCATTCAAGAGTCAAAGTTTCACCTTGGAGTTAGTTTGAAAGCAAAATGACAACATTGGTATGTCGGTAGGTCGGTAGCATGGTATAGTCTATTTATTTGATAACATCTGCTTTTACCGAACTGTTTTGTAATTAATTTTTAATACATCTTTTATGAATTTTTATCTAATTGCTAGAAATGATATTTTATCGAAAATAGAATAAATATGAAAGTAAAAATTTTGGAAATATTTAACTTTTTCGCAATGGATGTTATTTAGTGCGAGTAACAAACTAAAGATGTAGTATTTATATTGATCGAGTTGAATAATTGAAAATAGAAAAGAATTATTTGCAACAACGATCGAAATAGATCATCAATTGCCAAAAGTGAAATATTGATTGCAAAGTAAATCTGCGAAGAAAAACCGACATCTTGAACTATGTTCGTGCATATTCGGTTTATTTCGTCAATATTGCGTCCCGGGGCCTGGATTCATTGTGGGGTGGGTTCAGTGCAGTACATTCAGCAAGCAAACCTGTCGATAAACCGTTCCCGTGTTGATGTATACGCGCCATTTTTATTTTTTTAAATTCTATTTTAGTGGACGTTAAATAAATTAGATAAAATTAATTATAAAAAAATGTGACAAACTCTTAAATTTTGAATTTAAAAGTGAAGAAGAATAAATTTCTGACCCCGCGCCGTTTCCATAGTTACAGTTATATATTCACAATGTAGAGACACGAAACGCAGCGATCCATATACATGAAGTTACCAACACACGTTGATCAGCTTTGCTATAGTCGATGCTCCCTTGCTTTCATCTGTTTGCCTTATACCACATTATATAGGGACGTAAAATATTAGTGTTTTTAAGGGTTTCGGTTCGGTTTTTATTTAATCAACACACATTTGGATATTACGAAATGATACAAGGAGAATGAATCAACAACGGGTAGGCATTTTTATAAGATTATTATTATATAATTTTGTAGGTTTTCAAAAAAATGTTTTCTCTCTAAAAATAAAATTCTCACAACACACGAGGCGTCAGTGCTGGCCTCACGCGGTCACATCGATCCTATAACGAACGAATCGGATCTTTTTGTTTTGTTTTCTTTTTTTTCAAATTTGAAATACTTTTTTTTTGTTGTATTGCAACATTTTTGTTAAGAATTTGGAAAATGTTTTATTTTTTTAAATTTTATATACGTATGGAGTGTTTTGGAAATTTTTTACTTCTTCAAGTCAAAAATTTAACAATGTAGATATTTGGAAATGTATGTTTTATTTTTTTTTCTGTAGGTAGTATATTGGCAAAATTGGAAATGTTTTTTGAATTGTCCTTTCGGTAGTATTTATAATTTTTTAAATTAATTTTTAAGTATTTTTTATATTTTTTTTTTTCATTTTTTGCTACTTTGTTGTGTAATTGTAGAGTTTATAACACATCATCGACTTTTACGCCATGTTTCTCCCCCTCTCCATTTTGTTCTGCTTTTTATCGGCGCACAGCTGAATTTGTCTTTTTAAAGTAAACCAATAGAAAGGCTGTATTTTATAGCTTTCTATTTGGTTCTATTTCACTGTAAAACATATATTTGGTTTTAATAAATTTTTATTTGGGAATGTTTTAATCGAAATTTTGTTGAATTCTGCAATTGAGGTTAGAATCATATGAAGGTTGGTATAGTCCAGATTGGTTATTTTACTCATAAATTCATATTTGAACCAGTAAAAGTAAGGATAGCTTTTTTTAAGATGATGCTTGTTTTAAGGTACTAGCTCTTTTGTATTGTAGGTTATGTAATACAAGAATTTCGTATACCGTCAATGTTCCTCTATGCGTCAATTTCTGAAAAGTTCGTTTAGGTTTAAATCCATTTTTAATAGTTCTGTTAAAATTTTTATGAGGCTGAAATCTGTTACGTTTAAAAAGACGAAAAATTAAAAAGAATTTGTTTTCCAAAATCAAATCATTCAGTTATAAAATTGGTTGGAAATTAGTTATATTTTTATCTCTAAAAGCTTTGAATAAAATAGTTTCCAGTATTGAGCGTCGATGCTAACTTCCGTGACATCCAATTTTTTAAAAACCTAAATGTAATTTTTTCTATAATATTCAAGCGTATAGTTCCTGTTTTTATAGATCATCTTAAAAATAATTATAAAAATATGTATCATGTGCTTAGGTTCTAGTGCAATTAGGTTTGAAGGTTAGGTTTGCAATTATAGGTTCTTAAGATTTGGTCTTAAGATTCTTAAACGGTTTTTCGTATAATGTTAGCCAATTAAATAGGTTCATGAAAAAATGGATGTGAGAACCATGAAACGTATTCAATAATTTAGACCCAAATATTTTTTTTCTTACGGGCCAAGAAATAAAATTTAAATCAACTCATAAGCAGGTAGATCACAGATAAGAATTTTATCATTTTTATCAGTCATTTAACTGCTTATTAGTTTATTTTTTGTATTCTTAAAAATTTCAAATAGATCCGCTTTTTCCTCTTTTTTTAACCGTCGGAGTAAAAAGAAATGCTTAATTTAAAGTTAATCTTAAATTCAACACTGTCTGCTCACATGTAAGATCCTCCAGAATCCATTGCGTAAATTCAGCATTGACTATCTTAAATCTTAAAACTGTTGCATTTTTACTCTAAAATATAAAAATCTTACTTTCAGATCACTTTTGACATCGCTTTTCTCTAAAACCTTTTAGAGTAGATATAGTTTTGAATGAATTTTAGCCTTGAGATTATGATTTTAAGTCCTAAAATTGTATATACTTTCGAAATGAAATAGCTTTAAAATAGGCTACTTTTCTATCATTTTTGTTGTTTTAAGATGCAAATGGTTTCAGATCTCTTTTTTTTACGTGTGAATTTAAGATTCTTACGTAATTCTTAATTTTTACCAAGTTAACATAAGACTCTCTTTTCATCTGTGATTTTTTTACCTTTAAATAGAAAAAATCTCCACGTTTTTCCAAAAAATCTACCATACATTTTTTGGAGGATTCAACATTCTTTGCACAGTTTTTCTAAGGATATCAAATTGAGACAAAAAAACGAATCAAAAGTGTTGCGAACCAACGTTTTGATTCGTTGTTTGTCTCAATTTGATATCCTTGAAAAAAAACTGTGTGTTTGTATTCAAACGCTTCGTTGAATTTTAGGACATTCGCTTTGTAATGAGTTTGTGACGTAGCATTCACCATTTTTTCATGTATCATGTCCCAATGTCTAACTTTTCTCTTAAGAAAACAAGTATTAACTTATTGAAAAATATTGCATTTTTGTTACTTTTGGAAGTATGCATTTGTAATAAGTACTTTTTCATTTTAAAACAGAAAGGTAAATTTTGAAAATATTATTCGTTTCGTTTGTATAATTGAAGTTCCCTAGAGAGGAGAACTCGCTTTGGCCAGGTATACTACAGCGCATGCGTACAGCTGCTCTCTAAACTTGATATATTTATGCGGACATATGTATCTCTCTGACGATGAGCAAAAATTTTGCATTTTCTTTTATTTTGATAAATTTTACTTTAAATCTTATGTGATTACAAAAAATCATATTTTTACTCCAAAATATTAAAATGCCTCTATAAAATGACAATTTTTACTTTCTTATCACATGAGAAGGTATTATTTGTTATTATAAACACTTCAGAGGTCACAGATGTAGAAAGTATTTTTATGATTAAAATTTCTAATAGTACAATGCTAAAATCATATTTTAAGAGTAGAAATTTATTAAAATAATAAATCAAATTACTGAAATTGATATTTGAAATTACTTAAAATTGCTATTTGAATATTAACTTGAAACTTGTTTCTAGAAATAGAATAAATAAATGAAGTCTTGCAGAACTATTTGCAAAATTATAAAAATAGTAAAATTACCTACTTTATTCAAAAAATTATTACAAATACTTAAAAATAGAAACAAATACAAAGTAAAGAAGAAGTTATATAGAGTTAAAGGAGTAAAAGTCTTAATTTTGCTTTTTGAAAATTCATTTCCGATCTTACAAAAAAGCTAATGATTAAAATTCGGCCATATTCCAGCGAGATTATTGCGCAGCCGCAAGTAGCATATAGGAAGAATTGCGTAGAATGTGAATATACAATTATTGAACTGTAATACTAAGGCAAGGTTTGTGCAAGAAATTTTCGCCATTTCTACATCTTATGCCCTCTTATAATTTACTTTCAAATGCGCTTTTGTTATTTCTTGCAAAACGGTAGAATTAGCTTGCGAATAGTAAAACTAATCTCTAAATTTGAATCAGTGAATATGTTACCAGCATAATGATAACAAATCATCTAAGAAATGATTTAGTAATAATTTTACCAGCATTCGATGAAATCTTACCAATTGTCTTACAATTACAATTATAATTATGATTTTATGAAGCTGAAGTCCACAAGTATTTTTGAAAACGAAAATGCAAAACTAATTTCACGATTTATTGTATTTTGGTTTTGATTTTTCGATTTTGAAAACGTTGCGGACTTCAGTTCGCACGAAATTGACTAACATTTATTAAAACTAACAAATATTTGTTATAATTTGATAGCAATATTAAGTAGTATTTCACTAATTCGGATTTAGAGACTATAACGTATTTCTCAAAAACGTGCAATATAGATTCAAAAAATGTTTATGTCTGCTACTAAATAACATGGGGCCTTTCTTAAATTGCATAACAGGTTTTGGATATAGGTAGCTGTTTGGGTTATTAGTGTTGGCAATACGAAAACAAGCAGCTGTCGACGTACTGTAGCTTTTTTTCCAAAGTTAATTTTGAAAGGTGAAAATAATTTTCAATTTAGGGAGCAAACAATCTTTCTTTCTTGGAATAGAATTTAAATTTTGAAGTTCTTAGTCTTCGTTATAAATTAAGAAATGGCAACATTTTTAAGACAGCCAATGCTGAATTTACGCAATGGATTTTTGAGGATTTTACATGTAAGCAAATAGTGTTGAATTTAAGATTGATCTTACAGATTAAGCGCATTTCTTGTTATTCTGAAGTTTTGGATTTGTTTTTATATTTTTCCAAAGAAAAAACGAAGTCTGAAAGCTTTCTCATCTTAAAACGAAAATTATCGAAAAGTAGCCTTAAGCTTAAATGTAGATTAAGTCAAGTTTAAGACTTAAAAACTTAAAAATAAATCAATAATTGTATTTATTTAACTAAAAACATTTAATTTAATGCATCATAATCGTTTTTTAATCAGTTTACAACCATATTTTTCAAATTCTCTCTAAATTTGAATTAGTAAAAATGTTTCCTAATTTAAACTAGTGACTGACTTTTTGCTTTCGAATTAGTAAATTTTACTAATAAATTAGTAGAAACTACTATTTATTAGTAAAAATTAATTCAAAAGCAAAAAGTCAGTAGCTAATTAAAACTAGTAAATGAAAGAATAAAAATTCATTTTTTCCCGAAAGGAATAATCTTTAAAGATGTGAATAATATTTAATGAAAAATTTAGGTGTCTTAATTTTTTTATCCTTGAAGGTTATGTTTCAACGTATTTTATTTTATTCAAGATTAGTTTAATATAAGAAAGCAAAGTAGGTATTTAGGCCTTTATTACAAAATAAAAACTGTTTGAACAAAAAGCAAATGTGAAAAAAAATTGTTTTCTCATTATTTTGTCAATAATTATTTAAAATTAGTCTTGTAAACTTTGGCCTAGGTATTTTCGCTTGGTTGTTACATCCCTGACTCTATATTGACTCAAAATATAAGTTCGTTTTTAACGTATAGCAAATTGAAAATTTTAACTTCTTTCCGTATCTGATATTTTCCTCTATTCACCTATTAGAAACAGTATTTTACCAAGGGCCTAAAATTCCCCTACTTTCTAGCAAAGTCCTTTTACTATAACTATAGAAAAGTAAAAGTCTAGAAAAGCAAAGTCAATTTCTACCCGAT